GAATACAGTTACTCATATTTTGTATTTTAAATACGTAACGGCGGTACATGTATTCCGTTACTCCCCAACACTGTATATATATACAACTGTGATACCATAGGTCAAACTCAAAGTGTTTTGCCAACAACATTTCCCTGTAAGAGGACAACTGCAACCTGATTATGTGGAAAAGACTTGTCAAGTCTCCAAACACATTTCCTACGTTTCCTGAGGAAAAGCAGTATTTAAACAGACCAGTGAACATACAGCCTTTGGCTATTATTTGGCAGCTCTTCCTGGCCTGTACTTTATCTGCTCTGCTAACACCTGTTCATTGGGGTAAGTTAGACAGATTAAGATCACCTCTGCAGCATAATCCAATTAAAAGCTGAAAAAAACAGGGTAGCTTAAAAGCAGCAGGATAAATTTTGCAGTGGGCTTATTTCAGATTATCACAAATACAATGCAAACCCTTACCTGTAACAGTTGTTGTCAAATTTGTTGTAACTAGAAAATGCAATGAGCACACCAAATCCTGCACCCAGCGAGTAGAATATCTGTGTTGCGGCATCAGTCCACACCTATGCCAAAAGTAACAAGAAAATGTATCAATTCCTAAAGAGAGGGTTCCCACCTAAAATGCCACACAGCCATAGGCTGACGTGAATACACTAACTTTCATTACTTCCCTGAATAGCATCTTTGAGAAAACAAATCATTGTCTACCTGCACCTTTTTTTTAATCAGCCAGGAACACCAGGCTCTATTTTACAAAACATGTCAGGTATATTATTTATGGATGTTGTGCAAATGTTTTGCAAAACATGAATATCAACCCTTACACACATACATGAGCTCAGACAGTGGAAGATTGTGTTTCAAGATTGTGTGTATAGAGCACATTCATTCATATACTGTACATTCATTCAGTCTGGGAGGCACTAATGAAATTTAGCATTTAACCCTAAGCATGAGATACTCCACCCACTACATAACAGTAACTCAGAAAGGGGGCTGTGTAAATCGACTTAGACACTGACATGATTGTTTTTTTGCAGCAGCAGGTTAAGTAATACACCTGAGAGTTTCATGGCCTAACTCCTAACAACAACTCAATAACAACTCAGCATCTGAAAAAAGCACAAAAGTGTAAATCTGCATAGCACTGAAACAGGGAATTTCATAGTCTGTCTCTGACCTCTAAAGTTTTTAGTCGCTTGAAGTCAATAGAGAGGTAAGCTTTGATGCCATCCATAGACCCATCTAAGGTTATGCCTCGGATCAGCAGCACAAGAAGGACCACATAGGGCATTGTAGCTGTAATGTACACCACCTGAGTAGGGAACAAACAGAAAACGAAAAGGAAATCATATTTTCCTTTTTTTCAGTGAACTGTTTTCTCAATGAAAACATGCAATACAATGAACTGTGGATATGAACAATCATCTCACTTGGGTTGGATACACTTGGTATAAAACGATTCAGAGAAAACTAATAAAACTGTTTGTGGCTGTACCTTGCCGGACGATTTGACACCTTTCCACAGGCTGAAGTACAGGATGAAGACTACGACGACCAGGCACAAAACCAACTGCCAGCGAGGCCAGCCCAGGTCCTCGATACCACTACTTTCATGAAGATTCAACACGCCCCGTCTGCAAAAGATGATAAATAGCACTATATCATGACACCAAGAGGGTTTTTCTTCCCCCTTTTCATGCAGTGTATACAATTTTTAGTATTTCACAAGCTATTTTTGAAGAATTACACAGCATTGTTGGTAAATAACAAAGCCATAAATCATATATCTATTAAAAATTATACAAAACACAAGTGCTATATATCAATATAAACTGTCATGTAACACTGCTTTTAGCATAGGTTGTCACAGATAAGGCATCTTAAATTCATTTATGTATTTATTTTACACTGAAGCTATATCTTAACAGACATGCTTTTTGATGAATAAGCTCATTCATTTTCTACAACAGTTTAGGTAGTCTTAAAAATGGTAAGTTAACAAGTGTCCTGGGTAAAAACAACTTGTGGGACAAATGTGTCCCAACATTTCCAACTAGTAGCTGATGGTTTCCTTAGTTTGTCACTTAACATTGTTGGCTTGTAAATGTAAGGGGGCTTGATCTGTGTCCCAGCATTTTGACTTTATTTTGTATTTTTGATTCAGATTCATTTGTGTCAGCTGCGTTTCCTCAGGTGTTTCCACTTCCCTCATTACCCTTCTGTGTATTTAAGTCCTCTGTCTCCCTCTGTTCAGTGTTGTTTCGTCTGTTCGCCTTAGATCCTGTCACATCAGGTCCCAGGATTATTTTATGCTTCTGTTCAGTTTAATGTTAATGTTTTCTTGTCATAGTTTTCATTGTTAAACCTAGTTCATCCCTGTTTAGGCTTTAGTTTAATTTTTTCTAAGCTCTCTTTGCCTTGTTTTTTGTTTTGATAAAAACGGCTTGCTTTTTGTTATACTTAGTTTTTCTCTCCAGTGTCTGCTTTTGGGTCCACACCTCAAACACTTCGGCCCGCCCGGCTCTAACAGTAAATTTAAGGGATGAAAGTTGTTTGAAATTGGATGAAAAAGCATCTAGTTTCCAGGCTTTTGAAGTAATTTAACTGCTTTCCTTTGTCACCCAACTGCACACAAATGCTTTGAAACTGTCAATAAAGACCTATGGCATTGTTCTACTTTTATAAGGCTATTCCTCAAGCCAAATGCTACTGTAAGATTCAAGGTATTGGTTCAAAGATTCAAGTGCAGTGTTATGTCATAATGAAACAAAGAAAGACAAATGGTATCTCTTCCTTCCCTATCTACAGTAAATATTGTTTTCATCTGCTTGGCCATTCTTTGAATGTTTGCTCTAGAGTAATGGGAAGGAAGTTCACAGCGTCAAATGCTTAGAAAAACCTGTACGCATATTGTATGGTGAAAAGTTCATCTTTCAGGTTACTTAATATGTCATCCTAAAATATTAGTATGTCTTCCAGCACATCAGAAAAATCACTTTTCTTTCATAACACATTTAGAAGCAATAAAAATTGGCAAATTTAAGTTATAGAGGAGTTAAATGAGATAACAATGTCTCATGAGTGCATTTTCTTCTGAATCTTTACAGTGACTTTTCTTGATAGTCAAATTAATTTTGGGCAAAGATTATAAGACTACACACTGGTCATACTGGTCATAGATGGATAAACTCATGAGATCTTTCTTTTATTGTTAACCAAATAGAAATCTTTACTTTTAAAAGTTTCAAAGTGCCACATAATGTTGGATTGATTATGAGTGTCTTCTACGGAGCTTGGAAAGAAAGTGAGTGAATTTTTTAAAGATCTTTAGTCCAGTCGCTTTCTTCCAAGCTCCTTAGACTACCATGACCTGAATGAATGAGAACCAACACAGACATAATGAATATCTGTTTTTATACAGTTATTTATTACTATTACTAAGACATATCTACAGTTTGGCTGAAGAGTATAGAAAATAGTATGATTTTCTCTTTAGATCAAGACAACAGATAAATGCAATGCTGGTTTTGTTGTTTTTAGGTGTGGTTGCAAAATCTGGAATTTATTTAAAATAATAGTAATAATAATAATAATTTAAAAATCTTTAGATCTACTCAAAAGCACTGTGAACCCATATGGAAAAGAAATAGTAAAAACTTATATGACTTAACTCATGAAAGTGGCCACTTTCTCATTACTTTCATATATTGTTTTAGTAAGTATCCAAAACATACAAGTTTCATTATATAATTTTTCAAGGGATCTTATATCTGTTTTCACTCTTGTATGCTTTTCATACAAGTTTCACACAAGACAGATACAAACTTTATACGATTTATATATATCTTTTCCATATGGGAAAGCAGGCGGTTGTTGGAATGCATGAAAAATGCTTTCCAAAGCATCAGTTTAAGATTCTGCATCCATGGACCCCAAGAGATCAACCTGCCCCAATGAGCGCTTGTGATGGGCAACAACCCAAAATCAAGCCAGGTCATGATATTATAAATTGTTAGATGTTGCTCCAGAGCTGATAAGTACTGGGAGTTGGTTTGATTTTAATTGGATATCAATATTGTGCAGTTAAACATTTAAAAGCCCTTTTGTTCCTTTCACATTTGCCCTAAGACTTTCCTCAAGAAAGATAAAATTTAATTGTTATGGGCTGATAAGCAGTGGAACTGGATTTGGATCTGATATTCAGGTTGCTTACACAACAGCCTGACACAAGTATCCTCAAGGACATGCAAACTGAACACTGTTCAGAGACAAACATTTGCTTATCTTTTTCAGATAATGTATTCAAAGCTATACGGTCTTTGGGGAAGAAGATGCTCGTGTGAAGACATCAGTTTATTTGAGGAGAGGAGCTGAGAGTCTCTGCGCTGGCCTGTAGGCCTCGTCTTAGTGTTATGCTGTAATGCCCCAGAGCCTCCTTGCTCATCTGATAGCATTGATAAAGCACTGCCAGTACATGCGCACTATAACATAAATCCAGGTCCCTTTGGCCGAGTTACTCTAAACACATTTAGTCTAATCGTCACTCACTAAGCCAGTTGTTCTGCTATCCCAACACTCACTGCTACCATTACTCATCTCTGTGTATTTGAAGCTGGCACACTACTTTACATTCAGCCTGGTTTTCAAGTTGCTTAAAAAATTTGAAAAAGCACACGTAAAACTAAAGACCAAAGTCCTGAGTGTCGAGTTACACCTCTATGTAATTTTAATCTGCTTTATTTAATAAATTACATGTGATTCTATCCTTGCTATTTTGGAACAATTATTTCAACAAATGTTAAATTCATGCGTGCGGCAGAAGCAAAGGCAGTTTCTTCAAGTGTCTGTGAAATTCGATATTTTAGTTCAAATGAGAGCTATTTATCAAGTCTAGTTATCCTTGACATAACATCAGATGTGATTGCTTTCAGGCTAGATCTGTAGAGAATAGATTTTGTGTACGATAATGAAAGGAGTTAGCGTTGCTGACTTAAAAAATATATTTCTAGTTGTAACTTTGGTTGATAAGCTCATCATTTATGTTAATAATATACTCTGACAGGAGTAAAACATGGAACATGTTTTTTTACAGAATCTGTCTTTAATCTGATCTAATGAATCATGTCTAATCATGTCTGATTACACTTGTCATCAGGGAGACTTAAAGATGGAGCCTAGTGTGTGCCCAAAGCATTTGTACTAGGCCTGGGAACAACAAATCTAAGACAAAAAAGCAAAAGTGAAAACTAGTAGACTAAATATTAAGTGAAAGCCGGTGGTTTTTTGACATGTATGGCTTTAAGCAATGAAACAGCAAAGATACTATGTTTTATGGTAATTGAAATGATCTGGGTATTTAACGTTTGGGAGGTTTCTTTGATCTGATACTGTAAAAGTTATCATATTAATCACAGAGGAATGCCCAGCAAATCTCTTTTTCCCAGGTCAGATTTTTTGGCAGAGATCCTGTTTTTTGCTGTCCTTACGTGACTCCTGCAGCTGTCGTCTTCCAAGTTTAACCCTTTTACATGATTTAAAATTTACTTTGATATCACCTATATAAGGCCAGGTCACATTGAGCCATAGTGTATGTTTGCTGTATATGTAATGTAAAAGCTCTTCCTCTCAACTGACTTGATATAAAAGAAGTGGAAAAATATA